CAATTTTTATGCGTTTTGTGCTGTGTAACAGCGGCACAAAACGCATGTCGTCACGGGGTTGCCTGTGTGTATGCCCGCAGCAACTTGTCCGCAACTTTTAACTCGGGAATCACCAAAGCTAGGAAGCTGAAAACTTAGGACAACGTTCCCCATCCACGTGTAACCCTGCAAATTTAAATTCAGTCTCCACGTACCCGCTGGTAACACGTAAAAGTTTGGGCGAGTAAAATTATTATCATGGGAACCACGGAAGCAAGAGGGCCGAAGTTTTGTGGGCATGCCCCCTGCCCACACGCGACCCAGAAAATTTAAATCCAGCTTTCCCCTGCCCGCGAGTAACACGAACGGCCCCGTGAAAATTTTTGCTGGCAAATCATTAAAGTTGTATTTAGACAGGGAATATTCTCCTAAAATTTCAGCATACGAAGCCGAAATTTTGGTGTAATAACCCCCTGCCCATGCCCAACCTTGCCTATTCAAATTCATCTTTCCCCTGCCTGCAGGTAACATGTACGGCCCCGTGAAAGTTTTTGGCAGCTAAATTATTGTCTCGAGAACCGCGGAATCTACGAAGCCTAAATTTCAGGGCAATGACCCCTTGTCCACGTTCGATTTTGCCTATTCAAACTCAGCGCTCCTACGCTTTCGGATATCACCTGCGACCTCACGAAAATTTTTGCGGGTAAATTATTATCTCAGAAACCGCAGAATCTATGAAGCTGAAACTTTATGGGTGCGTTCCTTGCCCATACATGACCTACAAAACTAAAATTCAGCCTTTCCGTGCCTGCGGGTAACATATACGGCCCCGAGAAAGTTTTAACGGGTAAATTATTATCTCGGGAACCACGGAATCCAGGAAGTTAGAATTTTGTAGTAATGACCCCACACTTACGTGCGACCTCGCAAATTCAGTGTTTCTACGCTTTCGAGTAACACCTACGGCCCAGTGAAAATTTTGATCGGGAAATTATTATCTCGGGAACCATAAAAGCCAGAAAGCTGAAATTTTACGGTAATGCCTTCTGTTCACATACAATCCTGCAATTTTAAATTCAGCTTCTTGCGCGTCCAAGTATCACTTACGGCCCCATGAAAGTTTCGGCCCGGAAAATCATTGTCTCGGGGACCACGGAAGTTGAGGATCTAAAATTTTAGAGTGATCTCCTCTACAAACGTACGACCTCGCAAATTTGGACTCAGCCTTCACGCACCTCTGGGTACTACGTACAGCCCCGTAAAAGTTTTGACAGAGGAACTGTTATTTTGTGTGCGTGAAATTTTTAGTGGGAAATCCCGCAACTTAAGAACCAGACAGCATTTTAACTATTTTTGCACAGACCAAAGTGCAAAGCAGTGCAAATCATTAGCAGGCAATTGTTCGGTGAACGGAATTGCACAAAACGCATGATCGCATTGGCTACCCTCGTGCGCGTCGCTATTTACTAATTCCTTAGGACTATCATCGATGCCTACTTTCAATACTTAACGTTAGCCAATTCTCCTTCGCGTGTGATGGCAGCACAATGAACAAAGACTAAATTAAAAATCCTAACAAAATCCAACTATCCTCTACATCAGTTTGCAGTGAATTAGGTCCTGTCTTCAAGTAAGTTTCATGGAGCTCACTGATGTATCCGTTGTGCTTTTCTTTTCACTATCCTTAATATCCCCAGCATACTGAACGCTTGCATTCTTTGAGCCAGATGAATCATCAGCAGAGGAGGGCGGACACACCGACTTCTTAGAAGCTGCATCAACCGCCGAAAAATCTGCTGGATCTAACTGAAAAAAG